AAACTGCTACCGCACTTGGTTTCAGGCCTCTCCTGGCTCTGGGCGCTTATAAATGAGAGATGTTTAACTAAGAGACACACTCGCAGACTCTGCGGAAAAGTAACAGAAGCCCAGCGCGTGGGTCTAGACTCCAGATGGAGCTCTGATTGGAAGCTGGTTAGCTCTGGCTGACTGTGTGGCTGGCTGGCTGGCTGGGTGTTGGGCGAACAAATGGGCACAGGGCTGGGCTGTGTATGTGATGGGAAACTATTCAAAAGTGCACAAGGCTGCTGTGGCAGTGTATTTATTATGGTTTACATTTTAATTTTTAATAGAATAATAGAATAAAAAGTTACAGCAACAGAACATGTAACCTTCGTATCCATGCAGCACTAGTGCCACAATTTTAACCCCGATAAGCAGAAGATAACCATTCCTCAGCACATTTCCATTCGCCTAATCCAGAATCTTAACTGCCAGAGGAAGAAATCGAGAGAGGGAGAGCGCCGGATCCCTTTACATAATACAATTATATAATATAGCAATAAATTCCAGCGGCATCGCATATAAATTAAAAGCATACAAAACAAAAGGGTTACGCTTTTCCACCATTTTGCGGCACAAAAAGATGTGGCAATGGCCATGGAAATGGGGGAAAACAAATGGAGAGGGGAAATGGGAGTAAGCAAATGTACAAGGGAAATGGAGGAAAATGGCTGTGGGCATGGGGCTGTGGGTGCCACATAAGCCACAGCCACGCTGCATAACTCAAGGCGTCTGTGACATTTTTATGGCATCAAATATATATTTTATTCGTCGTGTGACCACAAGAGGCACCAGAGGCGTAGTCCCCCCAGAGTTCCTTCGTCCACACAGCAAGGCTCCCTTTTAAGCTGAAATTTCAGCCCGCTGGTATATTTTCAGCTACGCCTCTGATTATAATATATTTGTGGCACTTTTGGGCAATTTACATTCTGTTTCGGCCCATTCCTTTTTGGCCCCAAGCCGCTGAAGCCGCCCCCGCGCACCTCAATGCAATTAAAACAAAAGGAAAAAGGGGCCACATTAATCCTTTTTACACAATATCCTGTATGTATGACCGCCAAGATGGATGGCGCGGGTGCTCGTGTTGGTGGGGAGAGGTTTTGGCCTGCTGTGGCGGGGAGGGAGCAGTGCTGGGTTGGACGGCCATTTTCTTTTACCAGCTGCCATTTTTATGCTCGTTTTGTTGCCTTTTTATTGTCTCTTCTCTCGCTCTGTGTTTTTTGTTGCTGCTTCTGCCACTGCCGTTGTTTGGCATTAAAAATGTTTTATGTTGTGTGCGATTTGAGCAACCTACTTTGCACATGCCCCACCACCCCCTGGGACTGAAGCGCGGAGAGGCAATGCTGTTTGAGAGATCTCCCCGGGGTTTTATTTTATACATATATATGTATTTTCTATATATAAATTTAACAAGGATATGCGCTCGTTTGTTTGCGTAGAAAGGCTTAATTTGTACAGGACTTTTCGTACACAAATACACACACACACACACACACACACACACATTTAACGACTCCCAAATCGCTTTTGCATGAGTGTGTGTGGGTTGTAGGTGTATGTGTTTGTGTTTGTGTGTGACTTTTGTCTTGGCTTTAACTGTTTTTATGGCGCATTGCGACTTTTTATGGCCTTGTCTTGTTATACACTGCCCTAAAAGCGGTTCCTTTGCTTCCTTTATCACAATTGTGCTACTTGGAATACGCGTGAAAATGTTTCTTATGTGCACAGGTACCACCAATGTATAACTCTGGGCAATGAGCCAATTTATGACTCACAGCACTCTCTGGGCAAATGTCCACTTAATATATTGGTGCTCGCCAACATTGCTGCACTTTCAATGCAAATATTGTTTAGCCTTGTGTGTTTTGTGCTGAGAAGAGATAATATATTGTATAAATATTGCCTAGAGATATATAAAGATTTAATCCCCTTGATGATAATGGCGTTACTTGCATTAGAGTCGATTTCCACAAAGCTTTTCCGACCACATATTAAATCGTTCCTTCAACCTTAGCTCATACGGAAAAAGAGTAAGGTAGTCTGAAGTCCTTAGCTGGACTTGGTTGGGAACATTTAAACTAAAATGTAGCCAAGATACATGGGTAGAAATTACTTTCCAATTACAAAGAAAGAGCATTCAAACTTCGCTGTGATGCCATCCACCGCTGGTGTCTCGTTTCGGCTTTGCCTATTCTAATGTGTAGCGCCTCGTGCCTAGGCCATGCCCCTTCAAAAGGAGAACCCCAACAAAGGACCAGCAAACAAAAAAAAAAGCCCACGAAAAGTATAAAGGATAATAATAAAACGGAGTCTTATCGCTGATGTCGATGCTCCTGCTGATGGGGAATGCTGCTGCTGCTGCTGCTGCGTATAATAAAACAAATGGCAGCCAGCCCCATTTAATTGCTGCCCATAAATGTGTGTGTGTGTGTGTTGGCCTTTGGTACGGTACCTCGCATATCCTTTGGCGAGGATGCCACACCGAAAGTGATCCCCCATACTCCGTGCGGTGCGTGTATTACTTTTTATTATTATTAGTATTTAAATTTATTTGTTACTTTATGGCGCGCACGCTGATAAATCTGAGCAAGCTCGTTCTCCTTTTTAATGGCAGACCATAAAAGGTAAGCCCCGCAAGAATGAGGGAAATTATACAATCAAAGCAAGTTAAAAGTCCATTTAGCATCACCGATATGACATAATTGAGGGAGCCACAACCCAAACCAAATGCTAAAACCCAATCAAAATGCCAGCATATGGAGTGACCATTTGAGGCGATGTCCTGTGGCTTTTGTTTTTGTTCGTTACTTGACTGCAATGCAATTAATGCAATTGCACAATTGTTTTTAGGGTTCCAATGTGTAGTGCCCTGCCAGCACCCTCACCCCTCTAGAAACAATCGACAGAAGAAGTTCCAGTTGGAGGGTAAAGTTTATTTTCGTAACATTTGGCACATTTGGTTTTATTACCCAATTGAGCAACTAATTTGTGGGGAGTGGTGTAGAGTGAAGTTCAACAATGCAAAACAAGTCAATTTGCGGTTGAATAGCCCATCTCTATACCCCTGGCAATATCTCTTCTTGAACCCTCTTCAAGTGCTGTGTCTAATGGGGAGTGCAACCCCTTGCCCGGATGAGTCTCACCTCATTAAATTGTGTCCCCGGCATTTGTTAGGATATTTTGTAGTAGTTTCTGCTGTGTCTTGATTTCAATTTGATTTGTGCGATGATTAATTCATGCTGGGCATAAGCCACACCTACTCAAGACTACTCCATACCCATTCCGATACCCATTCCCAATTCCCGATGATAAATGAACATTCTTTTTCCGATCTCCGCCTGGCGCTGGCCGCAAAATGTTGCCTTGTGTCCGTGTGTGTGTTGATGCTTATCCGCGACATTCCTGCCGCCCAAAGTGTCATTGTTGTCGATCATTTTTATGTTGTGTGCCTCCGCAATTTGATTGACAAGCCCGTCGAAGCGGAGTTGGAGTTGGAGTTGGAGTCGACTCCACTCCGAGAGTTCATTTTACATGCAGCGATCATCTTTGGGCCTCTCGTGTTTTTATTTGTCTACCTTTTATGATGATCATCGCTCGTTTTATGGGGCCAGCAGGACTGGGACTCGCCCCGAAAGAGAGTTTAACATAAAATGTACATTAATCATTTAATAGTCCGCATAATGAACTTAACTTTTTTTCCTCCACGGCCTGCCCTCAGTGACTGCCTGCCTCTCTCGGTACGGGAGTACTCTCGGCTGCTTGCCAAAAACCAAAACTAAACGATGAAAACTTTGGCAATGCTCCGCTCCGCTTTGGGATCCCTGCTCTTGGCTTATTTGTTGTTTTTTGGCTGCGGGCTGTGTGTCTCTCTGTGGCTTTGGCACCTAATCCTGGCGCACAACTATGCCGTTTGCATTGTTCCACGCACAATGGACACAAAGGACATGTTTGCACTGATTATCAGATTAGGCCATTGTACGTACAAATTGATATTGTCATGTTTCAAGTGCCAGTTCCCATTCTCAGTGGCCAATGCCCAAGCCAGAGGCAGTGCAGAACTCATTGAATGCTGTCGCCAGTGCCGATTAAGAGATTTTTATTTTCGCACTCGCCGCACTGCCAGCCATCCAGCCAGCCATCCAGAAAGCCAGCCAGGCCGAAACAATGGCCCAGTCGACGGGACAGATTTGCAATATTTAGGCGAACTGCAACTGCAACTGCAACAATTTGTTGGTTTCTTCTTTAGTTTCGGTTTTGACGGAACAATCGCCGGACAATGAGCCATGAGTGGTTTTAACGCTGCGGTCCTCCCCCACCCCTCCCACCATGGCCTGGTTCTGGCCTAGTTTTTGGCTAGTCCTGGCCCTGTTGAACCGATCATTAGCATAAAGCCACAACGGCGACAGGCAATCGTCTCGGACTCTGTCTGCGTCTCTGTCTGTGCTGGGCGTTAGCCGAACCAATCCGAGCCGAGGAAGGATTAGCAGAAAATGTGCACATCATCACCGGTACGGTCCGGTCCGGTCCAGTCCGATCCGATCCGATCCTTTCTTCTCTGCTGATCTCGAGTTCTGTAGATTGCCGATCGGACAAGTGATCATATCGCAATCTCCGGCATTGATTCTGGCCCTTGGAAAATGGGTCAAAGCCGAAAGCATATCAGATTTCGCTGGAAATCATTTCAACTATAATCGCTGCCTTTGGCTATCAATGCAGCTGAATCGATGGGCATAGTTGGAGGAGTGGAGGTGTTGGCGGCTGCTGTCTCTGATCTCTAGCCAGCCGAACTGTCTACGACAGCAGATCGTATGGCAGATCGGATAGCGGCAAGATATGCTAATCTTTTGCCACTCACAATTGTGGGGATTCCTGAAAATGTTCAAAGTGTTTTTGGCACTTGGCAGATCTTGATAGCTAAAAATCTGTGGGATTATGTATCAATTTTTACATTATTTCGGTCACTAAACACACTGATAAGTTCTGTATTGAAACATAGGTAGATCATGCGCAGACTTACAAGATAACTTAGACAATCGTTTGGATTTCCGGTGATTAGGAGAGGGATAGTATGTGGAAAAGTGAGAAATCTGCAGTGAGATCATACGAATCCTGTTCCGTTTTGGGGCCTCACTAATCTCGATCCACCACATGGGTAGTTACCTGGACGACCCCGGCATTTTCGCCATTCTTGAAGAAATACGCAACGCCCTTCATGTAACCTCGTGGCATTAGGGAAGGCCACTTGGACGTGTTCAGCAGAATATCCTTTAGATAATAAGTGCCCTTTGGCAAGGGACACGGCGGATGATCGACGGGAAAATCAATGTTTACACCGAACTTGGCACTGTCCGCAAAGTATGGCAGATACATATTGAAGCCCTTGCAGATGGGTGTCATGGGCATGGTGTAGGGAAGCTTCTTGTATCTGCCACTACCCTCTCGATCGGTGTATGCCTCAGCGTAGAATGAGAACTGTTCATCGTCCAGATCTTCCAGTATGCTGATTGATCCATTCAACTTGCGCTCCCGTCCTGCGATGCGCACTTTACTGACATCCCAAACACCGCCTTCACTCAACGAGATGAAGGACACCAAACGGGCATCGTAAGCTTCAGGTATTAAAAGCATCTGGAGGTTACAACAGAACATGGATTATACATGAAGGATTAGCTATAGCCACTCTTACGTATGCCTTGGAAAAGAGCAAAATAAAAATGCACAAAATCAACTGCGACATGGTTGCACGAACTGAACGAATTGGTTTGGCTTAACATCTTTTATAGGTTTATACATACATAATCGTACATATAGGTGTTACAATGAAATTAAATAAATTGCAAACCTACTTTAATTACTTTGTTTTTCTAATTTTACAATGTATTTGAATCTGTACATCAAACATGACTAGAAACGTGTCAAGCAAGTTCAGTACGAGCTCATGCGATCAACAGATCTCAGTTAAAGAAGTGGAACAGCTCGAGGCACACCTGAAATCGGAGTGATTGAATTCGAAAATAAATAGCAAGAAAACATTGAAACTGAAGTACGTTGAAGTGTGCCTTCTGTGAAGATCAACCCACTAAAAGTAACCCAAAAGCGTATCGTGGATCCACATCATAACGACCAATAATTTCCCCCATCTTCACTACTTTTACAGCTTATCCCTTTGAACTGCATGCGCCACTTGACTACACGTTTGTGTAGATCGAGAATTGATGCTGTCGGGCCACGATCGCTACATGACATCATATCCCATGCCATACCTTTACATACATACCATCCCCGCCAGGCGAAAACTGATTTTCACAGCCTTTTGTTGGCGAGGGATGAGCTGCTAGGCGCCGGGTCATAACTCTTAGCGGCAGCTATTTGTACATTTCATATACGAGTACAACCATAGATAGTTCTGGCAGAAGCGGGCAATAAAAATATTGGCCTGCCTTCGGCGCTGCGAGGACAAAGGAATTGCACCATAAAATGTATACACAATATGCACACAGCAGCCGAACCGAACCGAACCGAACCAAACGCGAACGGAACACAAAAGCCATGCAGATCCCCGGGCCCTTTGTCTCACAGTAAAATCTTCCGAAACTAGTGCAACACTTTTGGCTTATAGACAAAGCCAAAGCGAACTACAGGCCACAGAGAGTAGAGAGAGCAGAGAGCAGGCCGAACCAGAACAGACCCAGCCAGGCCATTGTCTTCGCAGAAGTCGTTAGTGTGACAGGTTGGATTTGTTTTGTGTACGGTGCCTGAGTCTGTCATCATCATCAGCATAAGACTTGTCTGGCGCCAGCATTAGGGACAATATTTTCGACTAAATATTTCGTCACAGGCCCCTGGAACAGGGTGATAGATAGAGAGGGAGATAGAGGCACGAAGACGTAGACGAAGGCAGGCAGGGGTAAAGGAGGGCGTAGGCGAAAGGGCCAAGAGAAACGAACTCTGCTCTGCGGGCGTTTATTTTGGTAGATTTCTATTTGGCCCTGAACCCTAACCTGGCTGCAGTTACATTGATGATTTATGCACTGGCTAGGGTTACAGGTGCAGGCGCATTCCAGGACATTGCAGGTAGTCCAGCGAATGAACAAATTTTGTTCCAATAGGAATTATAGTTATTACAAAGGAGAGAGAACCTCGAAGCAGAAATATACATATATTATATACATATATTTGGTACATTTCACATCCAAAACTCGCAATAGCCAACCCAGAACTTACTTCTCTTCTGCTGAACTTCAAGATTGTTCAAATTTATTGATTCAAAAAAGCTTTTACCATAAGGCTGGCATTCGCTGCATTCACATACGAGGTGCATACGAACCATGTAAGTGTGCTGGCATCCTGGCAGCCTTGCCTTGGCATGTGCCAGAGTCTCGAAGTTGCAACATATTGGCGCACTTGAAGGGCCCGTGCCAGGGCACGCGCTTCGTGCCGCACTTGAACCTCGTACACCAAGTGGTGGTATAGGTCCTGATCCCGCTATGCTGCTGCTGCTCCTTACTGAACTCCTACCGGGTGGTCTGCAATGTAAAAAGTTTTCAACAATTGTGTGGAGGGGGGGTCACTCTTTTATGTAGCAAAGAAGTCGCACGCTCTCTATTGGAATTTCCACAATGGGAACACTTGAGATACTTTTTTTTCCATCCTCCCCCTTTTTCTTTAACCGAGGGGGTGGCTGGTTGTGGGTTTTTTGGTGGGGTGGAGAACAATGGTTCAAGTGCTGCTTGCAAAACAAAAAGCGTTTTAAGTTTTAATTACGCCAGACACAAAAGGCCGAGAGAATGAACTGGAGACAGAGCAGCAGCAGCAGCAGGAGCAGGAGCCAGAGGAGGAGGTTCGCCTGGGGTAAAAAGGAGCAGAGCAGCCCCGACACATGGTGGTCTGTTCAAGTGGAAAGCTCAGGAAGGGGTGGAATATGAAGGGACTGGGTATAATGACAGTGGAACCAATATTCGATCCATGAAACACGGCACTAACTGGCACCTTGCATGAGGCAGCTATCGGCTGCCAAATCTGAAAGTATTTCCCAACCCAGTCCGAATCAATTTCAAGCTCTCGCCCCAAACTTGCTTTACTCTTTTTATTTTCGGTGGGGAAAGGGTGCCATCAGCAACTATCTATCAAATACAGACAGCCATAGCTTGTCAGTGATTAGATTTCCCAAAAACTCGCTTTTAACAATGCTAGAAAAAGCAACAAAGAAAATTATAGGCAACACTTCGAAAGGAATGGCCATGTAGTCGACAGGGGAAGTACCTTGGAAGAGGCAAAGAAACTTTGTTGATGTCGTACAATGAATGGGAGGAGAGAGAGAGTTAAGTAGAGGCTCTGAGAGAGGATACTTTTTGCCAACTCTTAATTAATATTACTGGTAGTTTTGCCCAGAGATTCTGTAATAACAGCGACTCTTCTAACCGCTTCACTCCAATGGAAAATCGATTCTGTAACTGAATTAATCCTTCATTGCATAGCTAAATCCCTACTTTCATTCCATACTCAATCAAAATAATAATATTTATATTAAATACATTTTCTAGCAACTAAACCTCTTGATGTGTTGATCTGAGTTAGAGTACTAGAACTACGAGTATGTATACCTCCTAATCCGGTAAGTAAGTGGTATTTAAAATTGCTCAATTGCTCAACTGATTAGACTTTGTTTTCAATTTGTCTTTCAGCCGTTCAGTTCGTGGCGGGGCGAAATGGGAAGGTGCCACAACGAAGACAACCTGACAGACACGAAGAAAGAGGGAGAGTGTCGGGGTACACGGGGGGGTGCGGCTATGAGTGTGCTTCTGGGGCAGAGTTTTTAATCAAAATTGTACAGGAAATCAAAAATCAGTTTTCAAAAATAAAAATCACAGTTTCTTATCATGATGTTGATTTGTTGTTGTCTTTTGATGGTTCTCCCTCCCGTGTTTTTGTTGGGTTTTGTTTTGTTTTTGTTGGAGGTAGCGCTTTACCCCAATTGTTGGGCCCCTTGGCGTGTAATTTGAGGCGAACGTTGAACACTGAACGCAGAACGCTGAAAGCAAACGCAGTAGCTATGAAATCAATTATACGATAAAGATTTGACAGCACAACGCACTGGAGCTGCTGCTGCTGCTGCTGCTGCTGGCACTGCCAGTCGATAATTAATTTTAACGCCTTATCGCAATTGAAGGTGCGCCTCTCTTGTGCAGCAGAGGGGCTGCGAGGAAGGGGCTCCATACCCGAGATAGTTGCTCGCCGATAGCCCGATTTGATTGAAGTCTGTCTAAAGACGTTTCTTTTTGTTGGGTGGGGGGTGCCTGTCTGGGTGTCTGAGTCTCTGCTCTAATCTGTGACACAATTCGTAAAAATTATGAGTGTGTGCCTATGAATTTATTAAGTTTTTCTGTCCAGATGGGGATGTGGTTGGTTAAGGGAAATACCTTGAGCAGCTAGAGAGATGGAGACGGAGATGGAGATGCTTTCCCATGATATGCAAACGAACTCAATTATTTATTTTATCACAAATGATTTTGCTTATCAAATCTAGCAATCGCTTTTGGTTCTCTCTCATCTCTCTCACTCGGCGGAACAGTAGACAGAAGAAGGTAGTTTTTGGACCTTTCTCAGACCTCAACTCTCATCTCATCTCATCTCTTGTGTGTTTTATTTGATGCTCTGTGGCCTGGCCTGAAGTTCTTTCTGGCTCTTGAGTTTTTCTTACAATTGCTGCTGGGTCTCGGTCTGCGTCTGCGTCTCCGTCTCTGTCCTGATTGAGGCCGCCATTATTCAAGGAGCCAAACGGCTGGCAGCCCTCTCTTTCCTTCTCGTTCTGTTCTCTTCTGTTCTGAGTCGCATCTTTTTTGTCGCGTATCTTTGCCTTGAAATCTCCACAGTTCATGTCAAATTTCTTGTGTTTTTATACATCATTCCCTTTGGCTTTAGATTCTTGCTGCTTTCCTTGTAAGTATGTAAATGCGGACAGACTGCAGCTGCATTTTGCATGCCCCTGCCCCATGCCACAGTCTCTGGCTCTGGCTCTGGCTCTGGCTCTGGCTAGCTTTGAGTGATTGTCAGAGGTTTATCTTTTGATGGGGCATAGCTTCTGTTGCCACAGATCTGCTCGTATATGTATCCACGTAGACGAGGATGAGGACGAGGACGAGGCCGACTCTTGTTAATTAAGTTTCAAGCAGGTTCCGTCTGGGCGTTGCTGGAAACTCAATTTTTAGCACCTATTGACATGCAAAGGACCCGCATGCCCACACACTCTCACACAGAAAGAGACAGCAAGAGTGAGAGAGAGAGAAGCAATGAAGCAAAGTCAAAGACAGAGAGGGAAAGTCCAATTTGGCTGTGGGCTGAAGGAAAAGCAAATCAATCAATTCAACACGCAAAGTTGTTGCCGATAATTTCTCTATTTTGACTCCAGGTCTCGGTGTCCGTCTCAGTCTTCGTCTCCGTCTCAGGCTGTGTCTGTGTCTGGCTCCTGGCACCTGGGGATGGGCAATAAATAATAACTCAATACAAATCCCAATTACAGGCCAGGAGTGCCACCCGCCTTGACGATGAAGAGTCGTACACGAAGGCAGGACAACCCTCTTCCATGGGATATATCGAGGAAATCCTTGCAGCCTTCTGATTGTCCTTTTAGCCGTCCTTGCTGTGTGGCTCTATGTCCTGTCTGTAAGCCTGGGTGTGTGTGTGTTCAGTTCATTTGATTCGATCAGCGGGGTTTCGCCTACATCAACCACAAAACAACGAGGGCTGTGGCCCC